GATGCAAATTCTGTAAATCATTGACAGTCAGATTCTTGAACAGGACAAAAACTAACTAAACTAGATTCCACATTAAAACTTCTTTGAAGAAAGATCTTCTTGTACTTCATCAGTTGAATCCATTTATGCTAAAAAGATTGCTCAATCTTTCTTAATCTCTTGTAAAGTCGAGTGTGGATGTTTAATCAAGCATGTGTGATGTAGGTTGGGTTATTATCTAGTTAACTATTATGTAGGATTTTAGTTAGATGTAGGCATTTTGTCTTATCTATTAGATTTTATTTTTTTCAGATGATATTTGATTTGTTGGTCTATGTATTATAAACATTGAACATCTTTGGTTATTGAATGACATTGTTTCCTTCATTTAGAGGGTATCTGAAATTGGGTTGGAGAAGCACTATAGGAGCACTGTAGGTTTCTCAAGACCGTAACAAGCACTGTTGGCTCTGTTTTCCATTATATCGAGTTGGGGCTAGTCGGGTTGATTTGAGAGTGACCTCAAGTCTCACGGTAAAGAATTATGGTGTGCAAATAATTGCTAAGGCTAGATGATTAAAAGGCAACTAAGTTATTGTTAGATAGTGGAAAAACCTTACATTTGGTGGGGAGTAGATGTAGCCTCCATGTCAGAGATTGAACTTGTATAAGAATCCTTGTGCAAGCACCTTCTTCAATTTCTCTCTCATTTTTTGTTAGAGTGGTTGTTCTTGTTTGTTGTTTGTCAAAAATTTTGTTTTCTGGCATCAGGTATCACATTGCAAAGACAAGCTACTCGTACTCCATCAGTCTTACCTTTATCATTGATGTTTTGCTCTCTGTTAAACATCCTATAGGTATATATATGAGCTACCTAACTGCCTTATGAATCTTATAAATTTGTTATTGACTCATTCTCTACAAAAGTTAAAGCTATCTTACAGTTACCAGTATTTACACTTATAGTTATTTTTTTGATAGAGTTGTAACAATACCCCCACCCCTTTCTTTGATCTCCCATCAACACAAACGGTATGCATTTTTTGTATGGGTAAAATGTTGTTTATTTATCTTTAAGCCATTAGAAAGCATAGATACACAAAGGAAAATTAAATTAGGAAGACAGCTTGTCAAACACTGAGTCATATTAGGTAATGTTGTTGCTGTAACCTTAAAGCCCAACATCATCAGCCAAAGAAAACTTGACAGACCTTCAAATATGGAAAAGAAAAAAAAAACAGAGAACAAAATGCATACATCATTGTTTAGACCAGAGTTAACATTTGCAAGCATAACGCAATTTCAAATGAATTCCATTATTGTTAATTCAGAACAAATATCCTTGTGAATTCAAATAAAAATAAATTAAATTTTAAGAACATGCACTGAACAGTTCCCCACTTGCGCCATTGTCAAATGATGATTATTTGTATGAGTAAAGCATACTCATCATATGGAAATGCTAGATTTTTAAAAAGTGATTAAACAAAATTGGAAAAAGATATAGGGAACACTTGAATTTCCCAAAAGCTTGCAGTAAGTAGAATGGCTCTTACCAAGCCAACGGTTGCCCCAACACACTTTAGAACGTCTCTCCTTCTCCAACGGAATGGCTCTTCATCAGTAACATCGCTTTTGGTTTTATTACAACAAATGGAGACCTAAGATCAAAGTCAATGTAAGCAACAACAGTTATAACTGACTTATTAGTAAGAAACAATTGGAATAAAAAAATTGAGCTTTTCTTTGTCATCTCAACATGAAATTTCAAACCCATGTGCCATAATGCATGAGCAATGCGACTTAACAGCATCCATGAACTTGGGAAATCAAGAATTGCAACTGCATTGTGTGTTGAGTTGAGAGACACTGGTAAAGCAAAGAGCAAACTTACTGAACGAGGTTGGTATCTGGTGAAGGGGGGTGTTTCATAAGCAACGAGTGGAAGCAGAGAAGGGCAAGTTGAGAGGAAGGAGACACCCATTGCTGCAACCACAACTGTCTTGTTTGGTGTTGAGCGAGATGCAAAATCAGAAAAAAAAATAAAAAATAAAAAAAAATGGAAACTTTCTAGTTCTGTGGAGTGCACAAGGTCACAAGTGATATGCTTTATCCAGAGAAATCTGCACCCATTGGACTGTCTCAGATGTGACCCAATCCTCAATCTTTTCCCTCCCAACTATGTTACTGTTGACAAGTAAAATATAAAATAGTATATTGGATTCACACTATAGTTCTACATTTTCAATATTTTATTTATAGGAACAAAATAATAAAGTTTGATGAAGATTAAAATCAAAATCAATAAAAAAAATAATTATATTTTTAGTTTCTAAAATTTAAGGTAAGTAATTTGTTAGTTTTTCAAATTAAGAAAAAAAAACTGGTTTCTCAAATCTAATATTTAGTGTATAAACACTAAATTTAAAAGATTAAAAATAGTTAAAAAAAATATATTACCTATTCAAATTTATTTTTTAGGTATTAAAATACCTTTTCAAAAATTATAAAATTAAAATCATTCTTAAATTTCAGAAATTAAAACATAATTAAATAAAAAACCTTAAAACTGAAATAAAAAGATAAAAAAATTATTAAAATGGATTTTTACCTTTTTTTTTAATGTTACATTCAATATCCATGTTTAAATTAAACAAATTATAATATTTAAATAGAATATTGTAAATTTAAAATTAACAATAACTAATAGATATATTTTAAGTCTGTTTTTAAGATTATTATATTATTTAATATTATTTTTATTTCTTAGATATTTATATTTATCAAATATAATAAAATTTATATTATAATTTAATTTAAAAAATTACATAATTTATTTATAAATATTAAACGAGTTTAAATTTTCAATACAATAGTTATATAAAAGAGTTCATAAACTATATTATTTGAAAATAATTTTATAAAATGTTTAATTGAAACTTAAAAAAAAGTTATAAAAACTATTTAATGATGTTATAGTAAAAAAAGTCGTAAAATAATAATTCAAATTATAAATATTGTTTTGATTTCGTTTAAATTCTATATTAAATTAAAATTAATTAAATTGAATATTTTTTGTCTTCTATGTTTTATTAGATTATTTTAAAAAAATTCTGAATCAAATACACCTTGTGATATAATATATTTTACAAGGAAAATATTCTAATATAGACGTACATTTATTTTAAAACACCCATTAAACATTCATAATATAGTATTTTTTATTTTAAACTTAAAACAAAAGTTTTTTTTTAATTTGTTTTTTTATCTTTTTGGTGAATACATATGGGTGTTTCCAAAATTGTGAATACACGTCAATCACTACTCCTTTTTCTTTTTTTTCTTTTTTATATATGTTTGCTAACCACAAACAATTGTTACATAGTATAATGTTTAAGCAATTGAATTATTCTGAAATTTATCAAACTGTAATTTTTTATTGGATAATAATTTAAATTTTTCACAGTGTAAAAAGTTATTTCTTCTCAAAATAATAAATGTATGTTGAATTATGTGTTTTTATTTTATTATTTAAATTGTATATAAAATAACGTGGTTAAACTGATGAGTGAATATCATATTTATTTTAGTCATAATTATAGTTTTACTTCTACAGATTATACATATTATGTTGATTTTAATATATATAATACAAATTATTGAATTCAAATATAAAAAAATGATTAACTTTTTTTAATTATCACTGGATATATAACAGTGCATATTATCTTCAAGACCAGACAATACATACCCATAAATTGATAAAATATAGTAACAACTATTAATACAATAAAGTTTATTTTTATTTCTAGACACAGCAACCAACACAATGTGTTCCTTAATATGGTAAAGCAAAACCAAGCTTTAAAGTGGAGAAAATGGATTATAGGGCTTAAAAATAAAGGCCTCTTAAATTAAACCAAACCAAATAGATTGATTACTTTTTAAATAATGTTTTCATTCAGAAAAAATTACATCTTAGAGCATTCACACAATGGTGATACTCACTATATTCAAAGCAACCCATTAAATACTCTATTTTTACTCCAATGATTAAATTTTAATCAACTCATAATGATATCATGTTCACTCTATTTTTACCCATCCTCTCTTCTAATTGTAATTGATAAAAAGATCAATTTTTACTTTTTTTATTGTTAAGCTATAGTATATTATATAAGATACAAAACTTAAATTTAAGAATCCCCTGAAGTTGACTTTCAATATTATTAATTAGTAGTAATTATCATTTATGAGAATTACCATAATAAAAAATTATTTTCAATTACTTATTTATTTGAAATTGATAGTTATTTTAATGTTTTTAATACTATTTTAATAAGAAAATTCTTGTCATTGATTGAAGTTGACTTTTTAACACTCTTTATTAATTGATAATTATTAATTATGAGATTTACCATAATAAAGTTTTTAATTTTAATGTAAGTTTAATTACTATTTTTTTAACTACATTATTTTTTAATTCTTATACTAAAAACATAACCTTTTAAGTTTCTACGCATATTATTCTTAATTTTTTTAAGTCTTTATAGTAATATTTTAATCTCTTAAATAAAAAAATAATTCTTACGGTAATAAACAAGTAACTAAAACGTGTAATTTAAAAATAACACAAGTGACGCAAAATACGTGACTAAATTGTGTCCTTAATATTAACAAAGAACGCTCCGTGTGATGATGGGAAGGAAAAAGACCGTAGACTGTCACTGTACAACATTGAGAAAAACCAAAAATCAGACCAAACACACCATACGCTTTTGTTGTCACACTCTTCCGATTCAATTCACCCTCACACTCTTCTTCACTGTCTCTTACAACCCCAACAAGTTTCATTCCCATAGATTCACACTCACTACTTCTACTTAATCTCAATTTCATGTTTTCTTCTCTTCTTTACAAAATTGAGTGCAGACACTCTTCTATCTCACTATTCTATTTATTCGATAAGGGCTTAATCTTTGGGTTAAATCGGTGACCCAATAGAGAGAGAGAGGAGTGGAATGCAGAGGCGTAAGTGGATTCCGTTGGCGCTGCTGAGAAAGTTGCTCATTGCAGCCATATGCTCCATAGCGTTTGTGGCTCTCTTCTCTGTGCGTATACACATTGTTCCTTCCTCTAAGGATCACAGGTTCAACGACAAGATCTCCACGGTTTGTTAACTCTTTTTCTTTTTTCTTTTTGGTTTCTCTATTGTTATTCATTTCCCTTGTTAAATTGAAAAAAAAAAATGTTTTTATACCAGTTACTTTGATTTTGTTTAGGGTGTTCCTTGATCCTTTCCAATGGTTACTATCATGAAGCGTAAACAATTGTTAATTTATGGGTATAATTTAGGATTTCCTTAGGGTTTTTCTGTTGTCACTGTATTTTTCAGTACTTTGTTGACTTGAAGACTTCCAGTAAGAGTAATCAAACTGAAAATAGCTCTTTGGTTTATGCTTTTCTTTATTTTTTTTGTGAATTGGATTTTATTTCGGGAAAAAAAAATTGGTGATGAAGATTGATACATTACTAATGTTAGTGATTTATTGTTTAATTTGTCATTTTTTTCAAATTTTGACAGGCCCAGGATCTGCAGAGCTGGACGCGAGAGCTCGCGCCACCTCATTTGTCCAAAGCTCCACTTTCTACTCCCAAGGTTTGTGCTTCATGTCAACACTGTCAATTGAATTTTTTGGTGGTCTCATGTGTTTGAAAACTGAGAAAATGTGATAAAGAAACAGAGTCACGTACATTTTTAGAAAATAGCTTCATATCAAACATGCAAGGGGGATAGAAACGAATGAGGGATAGAAAGTAAAAAGAAAAAGAAGGGAGCGAAAAATGATAGATGTGATGGAAAATGTCGATATAGATAGGAAGAAAATGAGGTGGAAAAAGAAACAGAAGAGAATTTAGGTGTATGTTCATATTCATTTTGCTTAATTCCTCTCTGATACCCACCAATCGGGTTGGGGATTTTTTTCTTTGTTATCATTTTGTTTCTGTTGATTCTGCTCATTGTTAATGTTTATGCATCTCATCTTCTGTATAATTATGTGACTCTAAACTTGTCTGATTTAGTTTTAGCGCATGTCTACAGATATTGGTGTGTATCATGTATATAGGAAGATATATTTAAATTATGCGAAGCAGTTATGTGTCATTCACGATTTCACTCCTTTTGATTTGACAGTTGAATGGTACAAGAGGGTACTTAGAATACCAGAAGCTGTGGAAGCCTCCATCAAATCGTGGGTTTTTGCCCTGTACAAAACCCACACCTAATTACACCAGTAAGGAAGTAGAACTTTCCTAGCAGGTTGTAATTATGAATTGTATTGGTACTTAAAGCAATAAATGTTTATTCAGCTCCTGCGGAATCGCGAGGATATCTCTTAGTCCATACAAATGGCGGGCTCAACCAAATGCGTTCTGGGGTCTGAACTCTGTCTCACTAGTTTCTCCCATATTGATATGAGTAGTATTAATGCAAAGTTATTTGGTGTTGAAATTTTGCCTTGCTTATTTGATTGCTATGATGATGGATGGCAATATATTGAATGAGGACCATGGATTGTTGAATTTGTTAGTTTTTAATGTTCTGTTCCATTGTTGTTTGTAGCTGAAGGTTTATTCTCTTTGCTGCAGATATGTGATATGGTAGCAGTGGCTCGTATCATAAATGCCACTCTTGTAATTCCAGAACTTGATAAAAGATCATTTTGGCAAGATACTAGGTATTTTCAATTTGCCATTTACAATTATTTTTCTTTTATGCCTTCTCTTTGTATTGGATTTCACTTAATTGAATTTTATAATTTCCTTTCAGCAATTTCTCTGATGTTTTTGATGAAGAGCATTTTATTAATTCTCTAGCTAATGATGTAAAAATCATTAAGAAGCTCCCTATAGAACTGGTTAATGAAACCAGAGTGGTCAAGCAATTCATAAGCTGGTCTGGCATGGATTACTACGAGAATGAGATTGCTAGCTTGTGGGAAGATTACCAAGTATGTATGTTGGAAGTCAATTGTTTTATACAGTTTTATGTTTCTGTTTATTTGCCAGATTTCAGATATGTTGTGCAATCATCTAATTATTTATAACACCTTAAGGTTATTCGAGCTTCCAAATCTGATTCACGATTAGCAAACAACAATCTACCTCCAGACATTCAGAAGCTACGCTGCCGGGCTTGTTATGAAGCACTTCGCTTCTCTCCTCACATTGAACAATTGGGAAAAGTATATAAAGAGATCTGAACTTTTGTTCGTTTCTTGATTTAGCTAGTACTCTAGGGTTTTTTTCTTATCATTCTTTAACATTTTTTGTGTCGTTGTAGTTGTTGGTGGAGAGGATGAGGTCATTTGGTCCTTACATTGCGCTGCATTTGCGTTATGAGAAGGATATGCTTGCATTTAGTGGGTGCACCCATGATTTATCTCTTCTTGAAGCTGAAGAGCTACAGATGATCAGGTACGGAACTATGACACTTCAACCTGCTTAGTTGAATCTCATGCCTTTTCTCATGTATAATGTCTGGAAATTATCACGTGTAAAACTTGTAGAGAGAACATTTCCTATTGGAAAATAAAGGAGATTGATCCAATAGAACAAAGGTCCAAAGGGCTTTGCCCCTTAACTCCAAAGGAAGTTGGGATTTTTCTTACTGCCCTTGGATACCCATCAACAACTCCGATATATATTGCTGCTGGTGAGATATATGGGGGAGAGTCCCACATGGCTGAATTGCGATCACGATATCCATTGTTGATGAGCAAGGTAAGGAATTGCAATACTGTGTTTCAATATATTATTGACGGTTGATATAGCCTACTTTTTTAGGAAATAGTTTGGTCAAGCATTAGTATTTTCTGTATCTACCATCTAATGATCAACTTGTAACTTGAGTTGATAATGTATTAACTAATAAATTGATACCTTTAGGGAAGGTTATATAATGTCATGATCTCCTCACAATCCTTTCCCCTTATTGAGTTGAAAGAAAGCAGTATCCAAAAGTTAAGATGTTTTGACATGGAAACCTAGAAATAAGGACAAGATCGCCCCTTCCCACATTGTTCAAATGCATGGGGACTTGGGACTGGTACATCATAAGTAGGACAGGACACTGCACGGTTAGTTATATATATTGTTTGGTTAAGCTCATCTGCTGATGTTTATTTTAATTACATAGATGCTTTCGTACTTTCAATCGGAGGTTTCTATTTTTATAGAGGGGAAAAAACTCTATCAACAGTAGGCACTGAGCTTTGGCAAGAAGTCTAAATTGAGTGGTGTTAATGTGTTCTTCTATAGTATTCTACAAATACAATGCTAAAAAGCACCAGAGTGATCTGGATTATAAAGGACAGGTTATCATAACTTTTCTGTTGCAGAAACTACTAGAAAATGAGTGCTCAATTATTGATGATTAGAAGACCTGTTTTTCTTGGGTGTCTAATAACTTCTTTGCTCAGTCATATACATTATAAGTCAACTAAGAGGAAGATAGTGTATATTGCTATGTTCAACTAGCTTAATAGAAAAGCTTGTTCCTGTTTTTCTGAGCGACAGCAGGCTGCTAGAAGCATTTGTATCATGCTTATTAACCTAAGCTTCCGTGATTATTTTCAGGAAAAGTTGGCATCCATAGAAGAGCTTGAACCTTTTGCTAATCATGCATCCCAAATGGCCGCTCTTGACTATATTGTATCTATTGAAAGTGATGTATTTATTCCTTCTTATTCTGGAAACATGGCAAAGGCTGTTGAGGGTCATCGTCGTTTTCTTGGACGTGGAAGAACAATATCTCCAGACAAGTAAGGCTGTCATTTTGCAGATTAACTTCTATTTATTGATCTTAAAATTGTCTGATAATGTCTTGGGAATTATCCATTACAAAGCTGTTCTGTCTGTGTCTTCTCATTTAATTAGGAAAGCCCTCGTTCGCCTGTTTGATAAACTGGATCAAGGTATATTGACCGAGGGGAAGAAACTATCAAATAGGATTATTGATCTCCACAGAAGAAGGTATGTGATACAAGTCTTTAGTTTGCTTTTTTATTAATTTAAAAAATGTATATTTATATATAATGAATTTATGGTTCTTTCACTTTTATAATAAATTTAATTGTATGATTATTCGCTATTTTCGGCAAATGTTCTCTCCGTAGATCATCAGTAAAACAGGTCATTTAATTTGCTTTGTATGGAATATGACCGAACTAGCCTTGCAGTCTAGGCTGTATCTATTTTCAAGAACTAGATATCAAGCTTCATATGTAGAGTATTAGCCATACACTGACAGCAGGTTGTCAAGAATAATGTTTTTTCTCTGGGGAACTATGATGTTTGTCGAGTATGACATGTATATTTGGTATTATCTTTCTCAATTAACCTGTGGAAGAATGTGTTTCTAAATTACTTCTTGTTATAATATACTGATCACGGGGTGAACCTCCATTTGATTTTTCATTTGTTACATGTGTTGCACAGACTTGGCTCTCCCAGAAAGAGAAAAGGGCCAATTTCTGGAACAAAGGGCATGGAAAGATTCCGTTCAGAAGAAACTTTTTATTCTAATCCCTTGCCTGATTGTTTATGCCGGACAGAACCACTACCTCTAAACATCTCTAACACAGTTTGATGGATCAAATACTGCCGAACTTTTTCCTTGGAAACACCCCTTGTGAAAGGGTGGCACCTCTGTAATCATTTACGGAAGTTTAAGCATATGATGAATCTGATGTACATCTAGAAGGTGTGGTACTGTGGTGGCAGAGTGTATATACCGGTATCTTTGTTACACGCACCCTTTATTTGGGGGGCTGAGAATAATGGAAGTGAAAAAAATGAAAGGAAAAGAAAACCCATATTCGGGTTTTGATATAAAGAATTAGATTGGGAGGCGTAGTTCTTGGGTCTTGTCAGGTAGGATGGAGATTTGAGATGACTGGATTCGTTTCTTATGTGGACATGACAGAGCGCTTTCACATATGGCCAAGGATCTCAATCAGCCCTTACTGTATTTCTTCTTCAGAAATGTTAACATGATCTCACATTTTGTAATTTGTTCTTGTTGAAGACAACAAATTGCAAAAAATCTTTTATTTTAAATTCTGGTGTACGTTTGTTTATTTATTGTGGAGAGGGAGGAACTGTGGTGCTACTTTATCGTACATTTGGAAGTATATATATAATATGTAATTATAAACTTCCGCCACTACATAATACTGTAAAAGGAAACATATTTAAAATTAGTGGCAACAAAAAAATATATCAGCAACATCTAAAAATAAAAAGTTTATTCAATGAAATTATGTTTTTAGTGTAACGAAGGGAATTAATAAATTTATTTGCAACACGTAATTTTAAATATTTTATGCAAGATTTAATGATTATACTAATTTGAAGGAAAAATAAAAACTAAAAATATACTTTCGGTCATGGGATTTGAAAGTGAAACTTTTCATAAGTTTTACATAAGGTATTTGTATGAAAATGGTTCATAGAAGATAAATCTAAATATATTGCTGTAAACTCTTCTAAAATATTCCAGGACAATTCATTCAATCAAACCCATTCCACAATAAATAGAACCCATTCTTTGACCAATATATCCAATGAATTATGCCTTTATTATGTTTCGATCCCCACCAGGATATGCCAAACATGGTTTCTGCTTCACCATAACACCTTTATGAAACTCATACATGATGTTGGGTTTAATTATACTATAAAAAAACACATAAAAATATAGTCTTTAAACTTAAATGTCATAATATTTTCCAATAAAAAACAATTTTATTATAAATAAGATAAATTACACTTAATCTTTACAAAATTATACTAAATAATATTCACATCCTTATAATTTAAAATAAATACTCACTTTCCATATACTTTTAATAAAATAACATTTATATATTTTTAATTTTTAATTAGACATTTACATAGTTTATTTTTTAATAAATGACACTCATCTCTTTTATAACTTTTAAAAAATAACACTTATTACCTTTATTTTGATTTAACATGTCATAAATAAATAATATATAAAAAAATGTTAGTGTAACTATCTTAAAAACATAAATAAATGAATATCATTTATTAAAAAAATATATAAATGTCATTTTAATAAAGACATAAAGATATAATAAAAAACATTATATTATTGGATAATTCTTTGTTAGTAAGTATATGTTGGTATATAAACTAATACACAATATCAAAATATTAGATTACTAATTTACACTCAACATTGCATTGATCAAACTTTCTTTAATAAAAACTAAAATAACGAAGATAAATATAATAATTAATGTATTTTTTCAGTATATAATTTGTTTTAGTAATAGCCATGTACTTTTGTAGTAAGTAAATGATTGTGTGGGTGATTTCTCTTGATTATTTATAATTTAATTTAATTCATGCATGTCCTTGGAATCTCTGTGGTGCCAACTCAACAACTTGAACTTTACAGCATGCAAAGCGAACAAAGAAAAATACAATTTGCCAGAAAAAAAATATCTGGATTCACTATCTTACCTACCACCTGTCACGTGGTACGGTACGGTATTAGGGATTTAGGGTTGCATTTTCTTCTCCCTTTTTGTATATTCAAATTCCCAACGTCACTAAAATTAAATTAGGTTTACCTCTTTTGTAACTTCTTTTATATATATATATTAATTTCGTTTTAAGATTTAAAAAAGATAAAATCCGTACTATTAATATTTATTTTAATAAAAAGTTTATAAGATTTTTTTACATCACAAAAAAAAATATATATATATATATATATATATAAAGTAATTACAAATTAGGTAAATAATAAAAGAATGATTAATAATATCTTTAACTTTAAAAATATTAATTAAATAAAAATAAAAATCTTTCAAAAATCGAACATATAAATAAAAACAAACAATATTTGTTATTGATGGTTATTTGTTTATTTTTATAAGAATAAAACAAAAAGTCGTAATTAAGAGTACCAAGTAAGAAACTTGTTATATTTAAATAAAATCAATAAAGTCCATAGTAATTTAAAAAACTAAAACTAAACTATATAATAAAATATTTTACGAAAAACTTATGTAGAAAAAAAAATCAAGCCAAGACACTTCAAATTTCACCATTTAACACTATACCTGAATCATAACCAAATAAATAAACATTTCAGCACTAACCAACGAAGACACCGTCAAATTGGTAACCTTGAAAAATATTTCATTTATTGAAGTGGCAGATTAGGTTCCAAATTTAATTACCTAAACCCTAAACCCAACCATGCAGTCATTGGTCACTAGCCACTGCTTTAATTACCTTGCTATTAATCAGCTAAGACTTAATCAAATCTTTTATTTAATCAGGTTTTGCTTGGAATATACAAATATTATGAACAATTCATACAACAATCTCTTTCACACCTCATTTATTCGATATTATATAACAATAGGAGATAAACACTATAAAAAGATTACAATACTATATATATATATATTAATCGATAAAAATGTAACCAAACACATTTTAAGTTTATTATCAATTTTCATAAAATTTAATTAGAAACACAACTATGCAAATTGAGCTTTAAAATAATTAATTTATAAGTACAACACTAAGTTAAAATATTTGAAACACATGAGGATGGTCCGTGATCTGGTGTGAGAGAAAGAGGGAGAGATGAGGTGTAGGCTAGATAGGGCTATGACAAGAAATCTTGAGATAGTAGTGACGGTGAAAATTATAAATTCTAAAAGAAAATAAAATCAATGGAAATTAAAATAAATATTTTAATCTAAATTTTAATTAAAAAATAAATATATTTTGTACTCACTTAAAAACATTATTATTTTACTCAAATAATTTATTAAAAAATAAATAATATAAATTGATAATTATTGTCTTACCTTAATATAATTTATTAAAAATATTTAATAATATATATATATATATATATATATATATATATAAAGTTATATGAATTTAAATTCTAGATTTTAATATTGTTATTGTAAAAAAATAATTTTTAAAATTAGTATATAATTTTTAAATATTTAAATATAATAAATAATTTTTAGTGTAATATAATATTATTGATATTTATTTAAAAAAATATTAATTATAACTTTTTAAAAATATATAAAAATTTAAAAACTAAACAATACCAATATATACGTTGTATTAATATTTTATTTTAATATTTACATTAAAATAATTTTAAGTAATAATAATAATAATTTTTTAAAATTAATATTAACATATATTAATTACATTATTAATAAATTATTATTTAATTATTGCATTATTAATACATATAATTTAAATAATTGATAAATGAATACCTATTTAATAAATAATAAATTTAAAATAAAAATTGTTAATTAAATAACTAATAATTTGATATTTATTTAAATAAATAATTAATATATTAAATTTTTCATTAAATAATCAATAAAATTAATATTTTTGAATTCAAATATATATATTTATTAATATTTTCAATTACAATATTAATATTTTTTAGTTTAATAACTAATATATTAACATTTAAGAGATAAATAATTAATAGATTAATATTTATTAAATAAATAATTAATATACTAATGTTTATTAATTAAATAAAAATAAGTTAGTTTTTATTAATTAAATAATTAATAATTAATTATTTCAAACTTAATATATTACGGACGGATTATGAAAAGAAATTTGGTCGATAATATAAATTTATAATAAAATAATATTTATTCGTAATTTATATTTATCAATGTATTTATATTTATCGATAATTTTTATGGATAATTTATATTTACTTTTATATTTGCTGTTAATTTTTTGTCGATAATTTAAATTTATCAGATGATGAATATAAATTTTTCTTGTAGTATAACTCTAATAATTTGATGAATAAAATAATGAAAATAAAAAATCTTGAAATAAATTTTAACAATTATATTAAAATAATAAATATTTAATTGAAATCACGAAATTATTTTGTAAAGTACAATCTGAAATATTACTTACATACGAAATTCTACTCATATATTCATATTTTAGATTAATTCACTCGATTGTCCGCGCACCTTTTTATAGTCATACATAATAATGCTCAACTTTAAATCTCGTGACTCTTAAGCTAAAGTATCAAAAGAACTTATAAAATCTTAAAATATGTGACCTAAAATGACTGTGAGAGATCAGTCGTATGCATCGAAGTTAATTCGATCAAATATTAAAAACTCATTAGTCTAATGTTAGAGAATATAGTTAAGATTATTTAGATAAAAAATTTCATAAAACATTTTTAAGAAAAAAAAGTGGAATTTTCTAAAATTCAAAATCAATTTATGCATTACTATGTAATTATTTTAAATTCTTATTTAAAAAAATTTATATATAAACTAATTTTAACTTATGATGAAAATTATTTTATTTATCTATTTATATTTTTGAAAGTGTTTAAATTTAATTATAAGGATAGATAGTCATTCTTAATTTGTCCACGACAAAATGATCCAAATAATAACATTGTTCTTTTATATAATAAAAGTACCATTTTTTTCAAATTTCTCTTTCAAGATTAGTATTTATTTCTGTACAGATAAAACATAAACAGACATGTATTTATTAAGCAAAAACACGCCGAGTTAAACATCAAATATATAACAGAAAAAAAAAACTATATCAAATCTAAAAGCAATAATCTTGTTTTTTTATTTGTGTTATATATATATATATATATATATATATATATATATATATATATATTAACCAACTTATTATTCCACTAAATTAGACAGTTTCTCTTTTTTTTTAGTTGAATTTTGTTTTGACTGCTAGGTTGAATAATCAATTTAATTAGTAGTTATGATTTATTAAAGACAACTCTCCTATTTATGTGAACATCCACATCCTATCGGTCTGTATAAACGATCAAACGAAGGTCCAAATAATATTATGGTTCGTTCTATGCTAAGAAACATAGTTCTTTTCAATGTTCTCAATCATAATAAAAATATTTATACATCAATTTCTACACAGATCTAACCTAAATACACATTATATGCATGTAATGTAATACTGGGTCTCAAATTTATTGCCTGTTTGCCCAAAAAATAAATAAATAATGGAATTAAACAATAAAACCTATGAGTTAAACACTATGATCCACCAACGAACTTAAAGGGTGGAAAATAAAACTACAAGTACTTAATTTGGTACTGCAACTTTTAACAGATCTATTGATATCTCAAAATAAAATAAAAATTAAGCCATTGTTTCTCATATTTTTATATACATGGAACAAGCTTAGTATCCTCCCTGTAATATTCCTTCATTCTCCTGCTTTTAGGTTGAAGCAACTTGAACCAAAATCCACGTTTGCAGGCACTCCTATCACGACCATGATCAGCACCACCTTCGCAATCTCTATCCAATGACCTACACCTCCCCTGTACGATTCCATGGTTACCACGGAGCAGAAAGATGGAGACCGAAGAAGAGCTACTTTTTCCCTCCGCAGTGAAACAGAAACAGTGCATTGGAGAAGCAGACGAAGAAGCAGAAGCTGAGGAGTAATAGGATGAGGAATAAGAAGAAACAGATGAAGAAGAAGTGGAGGAAGCAATAGAAGAGGGTCTTGTGCGTGAGTTAGAAGAAGATAACTGGGCAAGCTTTTCCCTCAAGCAAAGAGAACACACACCGGGTGATTGGTTGTGTTTGGGGTGCTTCTTGCAATGGCCATTGCTCTTGACGCGGCCAATGACACTGTACGTGTCTTTTTTCTTGGCGAAATGTCTTCGTAGGTTTTCCATTTTGCATCTTCGAAGGTGGGAAAGTGGGTTGGCTCATTTATAGAGGAGGAGGCAAAGGGAAAAACCAAGTTGGGGTGTGTCAAATTTCCGTGATGGTTCATGGGGTGCTTCCTTGTATTCTTCTCAAAAATGCTCTTTTGACGTTTTATTTTAACCAATTTAGAATTCTTGGGGGGTTACGTGTATGGTTGTGATGGAGGGAAGAGGGGCCAGGGGTGGAGTCGGTGGTTCTCATGGTCGTGAGAGTCACAATCTGAGTGAAAAGAGTAATTATGTAGACATATATATTATGAAGTACATTTGAATGTGGGCGTTGTAGGTGTCCACTATTAAATAAAAGGAGTTTGTGTGAGGCGGCGTGGAAGAGAAATCTTAGGAAATGTAAAAAGACATTGACAAGGACAAAATCAAACCAAGCAAGGTTTGAGGCGGTGCCGTTTTGTACACGTATTAAATATCTATTCACCAAAACCGGTTAATTGCCCTTTCTGGATTACCTTCTGTAACAAGTAGTCCGTAAACTAATCTACTTTTCAGAATTTTAGTTAGCACTCTTTTTTAATATTTAATAATCTATGATAGATACCACAATAAACAATTTAAGTAGAAACAACATTTCAAGTCTTTTTTGTTATTTGTCATATATTATTCTTCAAATAAGTATTTAGTATTTGTTGAAAATTGATACCTGTTCAATATTTTCCTATATCTCCCGTAAAAGAGTAAGAAATTTTAAAACTATTATATTATTAATAACAACAAGTAAATGAAATTAAATAAATTATAATAATATACTGATTTCAACTTATTCTCCTTATTCATAACATTTGTTTACCTATTTAAAATTTAAAATTTCGATATTTTCCAATAATTAATTTTGAATGTGAAGATTCATCTACTAGTTAAATAGATTCACCACGATAATATGTTGAACCGAACATTTATTATTAGGTTAAAAGTTATAATTAATACCCAATACAACTCCTTTTACTTAATAGTATTAGGTCTAAATAGTATTAGGTCTAAGTACAAAATCCGTTAACAAAATATTATAAAATATTACTTATGTTAGCACAAGTTCTGTAAAAGTTAAATATAAAATTTGAAATAAAAACAAAGGTACGTACTAAAGAAAATATATTTTTTCATTAAAAATTAATTATAAACATATAAATTCATAAAAAAATAAAACACATACTTAACGAGACTCTCGCCGTTTCATTCTCTCACTTCAATTTTATCTATCAAAATTTATCTTGTATTTTGACATTTTTATCTTTTTGTATTTATTTATTTACTTTCATATTTTTCTCATTCACAATATCCTCTTAGTAAGTTTTTCTTTTTAGTTTTAAAAGTTTTCCTTTTTACTATTTTATCTTTATATCATAAAAATATATTTTTTTAATTTTTTTCTCTATTCACAAGATAATAAGTTAAAAAAATTAAGAAAATACTTAATAATTATGTTTAAGTAAATATTTTTTTTATTTTTATCTATAATTATTTTAGTAAAAAAATTAACATATATAGCTTTACATATAAAAATATAAAATATTAATCTAACTTATATTATTTATTATAAATTAATTAGTTATTTTAATGTTTTATAGTATTATATTTTAATGTTAAAATATAAATCAAAACATTCATATTAAATTTTAAAATGTTAAAAAAATTATAAATTATTTTTTAAGAGAAAAATAAATAAATCATGAAATAAATTTTATTTTTCATAATTTAAATTTAATTAATATTGTTGATTTATATAATATATTTATTTTTATATAATAATTATATTTACCTTCTCATATAAAATTTCTAATTCCATCTCTAAAATTACCTATAAAAAATTAATTATTAAAAGCATCAACTAAAACACATTTTAAATGTCACATGACTTTGTTTTAGTATTTTAAGATCTGAACTAAATATCATCAAATATTTTTCATGTGCTAAACAAATTTCTGATAGTTTTGATTATAATATTTTTAATATTTAAAATATTAATTAAATATCATTTTTTTAAAATATCTTTTTAAAATATTTTAAATTTGTAGTTGATGAGCTCTCTTAATTTATTATTTCTTCAGTACCGTTTGTTGATAGACAGATAATTAATCTATGTCATATTGTTTCATTAGTAATAAAGTTTCTATCCTACAACAAATGTGATCATTATTTTACATGCACCTCAATTAATATCAACACCAAAAGATATTAATTCCTAGAAAAGCTTGACATTATACAATTACATATCTTTTAGTTAAGATTTTACGCATTGTACACAAATAAAAAAAATGTAAAAGAATTATTATTTTTCTTCACGAAATCCACTGACACAAACACAAACAAGCATCCTCGTAGACAGTGAATTCTAACTATTATTCTCTGGAATTTAAATTTAGCCAAAGGACACAAAGGAACCATAAAAGGAAGTATATAATTTTGTCGGCAAAACATAAACATATATAAAAATTGAAAATATGCTAGCTAATAATTTATTCTATTAATATGTATGCTATAGATCTTAATAAAGTGTTGAAAGACCTTGAATAGGATTAAACATTAATATTATAAATTATATATTTTATTTCATTTTTAAAAATAGAATATTGAGAAATGAATCACTATTTTCCGTAGATAATATCAAACTTTTGTTTATACAATATAAATATTCATCGACATTGTTAATAATTAATCTTCATTAACGATATTATCTCCATTTTCTTAGTTTTTTTAAGTAGGGACTATTATGATAAGACGTTATTAGAATTTATATTATATTATATTTATGATTTATTAATTAACATTATTCTATATTTTTATAAATTAATGATTATAATTAAATAAAATTGAACAATTGAAAATTTATTTAATATAACATAAACTCGTATCTATAAATTAATAGAAAAATGAAAGTGATGTTATTAAGAGTTAACCTCTCCTATTTATCCTAACAACATGTTTAAGAAATTAGATTATCATATGCATTGTGTAACAACCCGTAAATTTTACTTAAAATTTTTACTTAAAATTTTCACTAAATGAAGGAAGAAAATAACTTTTTCACCTAAGAGAGGTATAATAGTTCAGTTTACATATCAGAATAGTTGAAAAGAAGAAAAGAAAACATCACACATCAAAAGTCCTAATTACACAAATGTTTTACACCTAATTACACAACACAAAATAACTCTTTCAAATTTAGGAGGTCTCTACTCCATTTCTCAAATCACTGGGTCTTACTACCACCTGTAGAAGATTTGGAATCTGCTCACGTGTATAACACGATCATAGCAGGATCCCAAAAGATCAAGCACGCAACAAAAGCAAGGGTATGCTACCATTTGATTAAATATGTAGAACAATGTAACATTGCAAACAACACTTATCAATTCACAAACATCCTAAAACTAGACTCACCGGAGAGTCTAACATTTTACAATCACAACACACAACAAGACTGACGCTTTCCGGAAAACTATATGGAATTCAGACCAATAAGGTAGACACCTGATGAGGAATATTTGGGGTTCCAGACCCTTAAAATTTCATGGCCCCAGGCCTATAATATCATTTTTTCCAACCTCTCATCAGAGCAACACATGCATAGGATTGACACTATGCTGTGTCTCCATCGACTTCCCACCACAGATGTCTTCGTCTATATGACTAAGAACATCTTGGAAGTCTGGATACCCTATTACGCCTATCTATAATTCCATACACATTATTCTATACAGTACATCAAATCTATCATTTAACAACTATTTCATACACACTATTCTACTCAGGGTTTCTAGAATCAAACTAACATCATGCAGTTCAAAATATCCAGCCCAACATTTAAATTCTCAACTACTATGCAATCATAATTCACTTAAAACGGTACATCATTTCTCCTTCAAACCACACAAACCAACCATACAATTTAGACATTCAATGATACAAAGATATCTATTTCAAAATAATTTACACTGCAAGATTTCCACAATGCTCACAATACCATATCGCATATAGCACGTATATATATCACAAACATACTCTCATATACATATATCATGTATATATCACAAGCATACTCTCATATCACATATAGCACATATATATGTCACAAGCATCTTCTCATATCACATATAGCACGTATATATATATCGCAATCATACTCTCATATCACATATAACACGTATATATATCACAAACATACTCTCATATCACATATAGCACGTATATATATCACAATCATACTCTCATATCACATATAGCACGTATATATATCACAATCATATTCTCATATCACATATAGCACATATATATATCACAAACATACTCATCATTCACTTTATTAAACTTTTCATCAATACAATACAACCAATAAAAATTAAAGAAGCTTCCCTGAGGGTGATGTTACACGTCAACCTAATTCCAATAAAACCTTAGGAATGCCAAAACACCTAATTTGTACCGTTCTCCCCCAATTTGGAAAACCCTAAAATGAAATTGAAGTAATAAACAAAATTAAACCCGAAAACATGAAATTGGGGAGTGATAGAGTAAGAGGAAACATTTAATTCCACAATTAATTCCTTAAATTCTCAAAACCCCAAATTTTAACTAGCAAAAACCCTAAAAATTCAAACTTACCGGAACGAAATTCTAATCGGTGGGTCTTCTGCTATTCTCCGTCGTGAGCATAACGGCGGTCTCAGATTCTTGATCGAGGAAGAAGAAAGTCTTGATCTGTAGGAGAGAAGGTAGAGCTGAGTTATGGAGATAGGGGATATGTTTGTACGAAAAAAAAAAGAAGAAGAAAACCAGATTTTCTCTCTCTTCTTCTTTTTGCTTTTCTTTTAATTACAGTATATTACACATTGTATACACACAAGATACATTATTTGACTGGGTAATGTTGTATTTAAGAATGAGAATATCTATCTAAAATTTATTATAATATGATTAGGGTAAAATGTTATTAGTTTAGAATTTTAAACCGTCAATATTTTGTACTCTCATAGGACGCGATAAAACCCGTAGATGTTGGTTACGGTGTAATGGGACAATGGCATTGAAGACAACACATGCCAAAATTTCAATCCCCACTCTCCGTTGTCCTTTTCCACCGTCACACTATGACTAATTTTAGTTTATGCCTTCTAATACACAGGATTAAGTATATTTTTGTTTATTTTTTTAATTGACAAATTCAATTATTTTATTTTTAAAATATTTATTTTTAATTACTCTTTATATCTAAATTTACTATTCACCAATAAAATTTTTACTTTGATAAAATAACTAAATTCATCAAATATGAAATTTTAATATTTTTTATATCTAAATTTCATATTTATTAATAATTTTTTATCTTGATAAAAGACTAAATTTGTATACATTTTAAAGTTTAAAACTAATTAATTAATTTTTAACGTATGAAATCAAAACCAAGTTTAATGAAAAATACAAAAATTGAAAACATATTTAACCTTAACTGTATATATACTAAATTCCATATAAAAAATATCTATACACAAAATATTTAAAATATTAGTTGTAACCATTTAAACAATGAAGAGTAGATAAATTGAACCTCTTAAGATCAAATATTACAAATATAGATTACTGCACTAATGAAAACGAAAACATATAAGTAATTATTAGTATAACTGACATATATTAGTAAAATTTTAACCGTTATATTAAGAGAATTATTATGTTGACTATTGTTATAACTGGTCATTTTTCAATAATGAATTTACTTCTCAACAACTGCATCATATTTTTTTCATTAGATTTGAAATCCTCCATGAAGAAAGGTAGTGGACAATGGTGATACTTTAACATGGGAGAACTACAAATAAAGTAATGAGGACATGCATGACATAAATTCCAATGAGGTACAAGTGATTCCGAAAGAATCTTCCAAATAGTAAATTTTATTTACTATATTTGATCATACAGAAAATCAACGTAAGAAATAAAACTTACTATGATATTGCCATTAAAATTTCACATTTTCTACACTACAAAAAAAAACCCTATTACCTACGGAATATTACCTATAGATACAAATCCGTAGGTAAATTTTACATTACCTACGGATATTACCCACGGATAAAAATCCGTAGGTAAATTTTACATTACCTACGGATATTACCCACGGATGAAAATTCGTAGGTAAATTGTACATTATCTACGGATATTACCTATGGAATTTTATCCGTAGGTAATTATCCATTACCTACGGTAATTATCCATTACCTACGGATATTATCCGTAGGTAATGTAATCCGTGGATAATTCCGTAGGTAATAACCTACGTAATTACTATCCGTAGGTAAAGTGTACATTACCTACGGAATTCTATCCGTGAGTAATTATCCATTACCTACGGATATTATCCGTAGGTAATACCGTAGGTAATTACCTATGGAATTACTATCCGTAGGTAATTTATATTAAACTAAAAGAATTGTCACTAGCAAGAATCGAACCCAGTATCTTAAAGTTGAAAACTGATATTTCAACCACTAAACTATTAGGATATTCTAATAATAATTTACAACCAAATTATACTTATATTAATTCGTGTAAATATATAAATATATAAATATATAAATATAAAATATATAAATATATAAATATAAAATATATAAATATAAAATATATAAATATATAAATATATAAATATACAAATATATAAATATACAAATATATAAATATACAAATATATAAATATATTTATATATAAATATATAAATACATAAATACATAAATATATAAATATATAAATATTTAAATATATAAATAATTAAATATATAAATATATAAATACATAAATATATAAATACATAAATACATAAATACATAAATATATAAATAGATAAATATATGAATACATAAATACATAAATATATAAATAGATAAATATATAAATATATAAATACATAAATATATAAATACATAAATATATAAATATAAATATATAAATATAAATACAAATATATAAATGTATAAATATATAAATATATCAAAATATAAATATATTTTATATTTATATATTTTATATTTATATATATTTTATATTTATATATATTTTATATTTATATATTTTATATTTATATATATTGTTTATATTTAGACGGATAAATATAAATATAATTTATTTGTAAATTATTTTCATAATATCCTAATAGCTTAGTGGTTGGAGTATCGCCTCCAACTCGGTGCTGACGTTCGAATCTCATCAATGACAATTCCCTTAATCTAATAATAATTCAAAGTTTTGAAAATATAATATAAAGGGGAGGGGTTGTAATAAATAAAAATTTTTTGTTTTGTAAGGTGAGTGCATTACCTACGGATTATAATCCGTAGGTAATTCCAACAGTGCATTACCTACGGATTTAGGTAATTCCAGATGAGTGCATTACCTACGGATTATAAATCCGTAGGTAATTACCTACGACCAAATTACCTACGGATTTTCTACGGAAAGAAATCCGTAGGTAAAGTGACATTACCTACGGATTTTTGTTATTACCTACGGATTTTACCCGTAGATAATAAGCGTTTTTTTGTAGTGACATATTATTTAAACTCATATTTATATAGATTATAAAATCTACATAGAAACTTAAAATAATTATCATAAAAAATTTATTTGATAATAGTGGTGATTTTACGTATAATATAATACTAAATTTAAAACAAAAAGATATATAAGTATCGTTCCTAAGTTTTTCAGAAAACATCCTATTACTCCATGTTCTTAAAATTTATTAAATTACAACGTGATGTATTAATTGTTCACCAAATTATAATATTAAAATCGTGAAAAGGATTATACTTGCATATTGATAAAAATCACGAAGTAAAAATAATTTTTGATAAACATATATATGATGAAATACATGCTTTGCATTTTTTTTCAACTTTCACTAATAACTTGTTTTGATGAAATAATACGAAGAAAAGACTAATTAAATTTTGTAAATATGATTATTTATAACTCTCAAATTAACATATCATAAAAGGAAATCTAATAAAAAATAAAATTGTGTTCAAATATACTAAATAAATAATAAAAAATATTATTATTTCTCTAATTGAAACATAAAAATAGAATATTTATATAAAAAGTGAAATAGTGCCATAATTTTTATAAGAATAAAAATAGAATATTTCGTAATAAAATAATGCTTAAGTATTCTTATTTAATTTAAAATTATAAATATTTCAATAATAATATATTATACATTACTTTATATATAAGAAATGAAATTACAGAAAGTCAAGAACAAGGAGCAAAAATTTACTCCTTGTGTATCAAAAAAAGACAACGAGGCATGTTTGCAAATTAGTAATCCAATTCATTCATAATAATATTACACCCTTTCTTAATTATAATAAACAAATACTTGTAAGGAAAGTAGTTAATCATTTAGTTTTAATTAATAATATCATAATATAAAATACTATTTTAAAGACATTTATAAAATTAAATTGTATAAGTAGTAGTCGTATTTAATAAAAATACTCACCATTGAATATATATTTTTTAAAGCATCTATAATTTTTTAATATTCATTTTAAAATTAAAAATACCTTTAAAATTTTGAAAGATTCATAAAATTAATATTATTTATTTATCCTAAAGTTAATAATTGTATTAATGGATCTACAGGGTCCGCGTAAATTTGTCAAAAATTATTAATAATTTTATTAATGAATCTACTGGACCTATTTGTGGTCAACAAATGAATTAGATAACTATTTTTTCAAATGAATTAATTTTACATTGAATCGAATTTTTAAAATATTTCTTCATAAATCAAAATAAATTAATACATGAATAATTTCTTAATGCGAACCAAACATATAACGCTCTGAAACACCGTAGCAATCAATAATAATCGGTCCACGCTTTCCTCCAGTTAGGTTCTATCAAATATATAACGCTATGAACCAAATATAAATAAAATTCTTTATTAAAATTATAATATGAGCACGACATGTATAACACATTTTTATTGAATTTAGTCTCTATAAATATGTATTAAATTAATGCAGCGCGTTCTTATGTTGGTCTCACAGAGTGTTCAACTTAATAAGACAATACATAATGTAACTCAATTTAAAAATTATAAAAAGTTTGCGATAAAATTTTAATATAAAATTATTTGATAATATATAAAATATATTTTTAAAAAATTTATCTGATTAGATAATTGATATTTTTAACTTATAAGAAAAGAATAATTCTTGATAAAAATAATAGTTTTAAAAAAATTAAACTTAATTTCTAATATCATGTTAAATCAATTAAGAATAAAATAACTTATAAAATTTAACAAATATTTAAATAATATGATTTGAAAATTACAACATCAGTAATATATTAAATTAATTAGTTTTCCACATATAAAGCCGATGGGTTTTTAATAATTATTTTATTCGCAATTCATGCAGGACAAATCATATGGTTAGTCAAAATTTCATAAAAAAAAAAACTATGAACACATAAACACCGTATGATAAGAAAGTGGCGTTATATAAAAACAAAAATTGATTTTTTGATATTGTCCGTGAGAAATAATCTAATATTGAAAATAATAAGAAAAAAAAGGAGCTCAATGAAATTTGATTGCGATGATGGAAGAAAATCAACACACATTTAATATACATTTTTGTAAAGGACAAAGACCTCGGTAAAATTGACAAACAGACGTAGTAAAGAAACAAAAATACACACGTAGAACACAAAAAAAAGAAAAAAGAAAAGAAAACGGACAATAAAATAATTACACAGGGAATTTTATTTTCTTAAAAAAATCTAGACTTGAGAGCGAGAGTGGATTGAAGCCAAGAGTAGTAGACTATTTTTCAACTATGGTCGTTCGATCACAACCCATCAATTTCAAATCCATCTTCTTTCTCCTGCTCCTCCTCCTGGGAGAACTCTACCCACTTCATTGTCTTGCTGAGTTTTATGAACAAGAAAAACCCAATCCCAGCCGCAGTCATCACGCCACTAACCAAATAAATAGTTTTGGTGGCTATAACCATTATCAAAACCAGAAACCCAGAGGGTATCAAGCACATCACAACCAAGAATGGCAGCTTCAAGGGAACCCGGTAAGGCCTTTCAATGTTGGGCGACTTCTTCCTCAACCAAAGAAACGAAGCAAACTCCAACAACATCCCCAAACTATACAAGAAATTCGCCGAAGAAATAATGTCAGTGAAGTTCATGTAAGACACACCAATACTTATCAGAGTCGATAACAGAATCCCCAACCAAGGCGTGTTGAACCACTTTGACCTAACTCCAAAAAACTTGGGCAAAATCCCAATCTCCGCCATTCCCAGAATCTGGTACGCGCTGCTGCTCATCTGGGCCTCGAAAAGCCCAATTGCTGATAACACTGCCCCGACTTCAATCCAGATTTTCAACCACTTCCCTGCGATGATCTCCGCAGCTTGCGCGTGGAACCCAGTTTCCCATAACCTCTGGTCAACCGAAACCGCTCCAGTGACAGCGAAGAGAGGGATCAAGTAAGAGACGCAGGTGAAAATTACAGCAACAAAAAGAGCCAAAGGAAAAGTTTTCTGCGGTTTTTCAACTTCCCCCGCTAAGGTACTGACGTTGTCCCAGAAATTGAGGTTCCAGAAGAGCGTGTTGAAGAACAAGTTCCAGTCTTTCTTAACCCCCTTCTGACCCAAACTAACCCACCTATGAGGTTTAAGCTTGGGGATGGCGATCAGGGACATTAACACAAAGGGGGAGAGAGAAACGATAGCAAGCAACACAGCCACGTAGCCGACGATGGAGAGGCCGGTGTAGTTGAGGAATGAGAGAGCCAAAGTTGAAGCTAAGACTGCGACGTGCCGGGGCCAACCGGATTGGAGAACGGGGAAAACTTTTTGGACGTATTCTATGCAGAGGACGGGGAAAGATGCGATGTTGATGACGCCGCTCAGGAATTTCCACGTGCCCATTAGGGAACCCCAGAAGGGGCCGAAGGCCCGTTCAGCCCATATCACGAAGCCTCCGTTGCCGGGGAAGGCGGTGGTTAGTTCGGCGGTGATTAGGGCTTCCGGGACGCTCCAGATGAATGGGAATATGAGAAAGCCCAGTAGGGCGAGGAGTGGGCCTGCCGCTTGAACCGCGGGCTCTTCGCCGTAGGGACCACCCGCGACTTCGAAGTAGATGAGGAATATTAGAGGGATGAGGGTGAGTTTCTTGACTTTTGTTTCGTTTGTGGAGTTGGTGGCGGTGGCCGTGGGTGCAGAAGGGGTTTCTTCGCCCATGACGAGTTACTGCTTTTGGTTTTTCCAATGATTCGTTTATGGAAGAGGGGGAATCTTGTAGCTGGAATATTAAGGGTGAAGATGATGGAAATTTTTTTTTTTTTTGAAAGTTAAAAATTCTCAAACATTTAAAAAATAATTTAAAAGTAATATTTTCTATTAATAGACAGAATAAAGTAAAATAAATAAATAGTGATACCATTTCGGACAGAGACCCCTTCTTATCCAGACTATATGAACATACTCGGGCATAACGGCGCCATCCCTCGGCTAAAAGCCCACTCAAGTTCATATTTCTTATAAGAAGAGCACTCTGAAATAAAATGGTTTCATAGATCGGAAGCTTTCTGATACACAGGATCCTCTTTCGAGGCAAGTGTAGAGCATATTTGCATCTAAGTGGGGAACGATACTAAGAATTATAAGCTTCAAGCTTTTAGAGAAGAGAAAACTTAGAGAGAAAGCATTTTAAAGAGAACTTGTATTGATTTCATTTGATTAAACTCTGCCTTCAACATTACAAGTATCCCTTATTTATAGCGAAAACAAACACACGGAATTCAAAGCTTCGCTAAACTAAAATGAAATTCGGACCCGAAACTTATCATACAAGGTGGAATCCGAAGTCAATTATTCAAACTATGGCCCACACATCATAATGGCCTTACAAAGGACAAAACACCATGATTCACACTTTATTTAAAGTCATACGTATGGACAAAGTAGAAAAGATAAGATAAGATTCGAAAATGATGTCTTATCTCTTCATGGAAAGTAAAGTTGATCCAGACTTATCTTCATTAACACGTTTGCGGTAAACGCAATAGACACGTGTAAAGATAAGGGAATCTTGCTTTAGTAGCATGTCAGAATGACAGCCATTAACTAAAGCCTTTACTTTAGTCAGATCGGGTGGAGCCTGAATAGTTCATCTGTTGTGCTTCACTCCTTGTCATGCTTCCATGTAATGGGTCCCAGTAAGGGTACATCTTTTTATGCATTAATATTTCTTCCATCAGATCTTCGTTGATATCTTCTGCTAGATCTTCAACTTTCTGGAAGTCTTCATCTGGGACGTTCATCTCTGCTCTTCTTATCTCTTGGGATTTGTCTTCTTCTGGAGTGATTTGATTCAACTGGTATGTGTCAGATGGTCTCTGGGATGAGCTGGCAATGTTGGGATCTACTGGCTTTGGTTGATAATGATTTATTTCACAAAGGTGATGCGCCAGTTGTGCACGGTAACTGTTATCAAGTGGATAGGTGTCAAAGCTAGCCCATAGGTAAGCTTCATTTTTTGACCAAAGGGTTCCAGCTGGATTCATGAAGTATGGACGGTGGATGATGAAGATAGATGTCAAATTCTTGAGAGAGTCTTCAGTAACTCCTTTCTGCTTTTGACGGTCTATGATCTCCTTAAGTTGTTGTCTCCACCAGGGTATTGGAGAAAACCATTCGAGCAATGTCCAAAAAAGGAATTTGTCTTTATACGGATGTGTCAAAATATTGTAAGCTGTTTGAGCCTTTAATGCAATAGGAATGGAGTATTGAACTGTATCGCACCAAATGGTCCAAAGGGTAGGCTCACAAAGGTCCCAACCAGGTTCACAGAATAGTTCAAAAATTCCCCCAAAGGGAATATCAGGATTGAACGATGAGGCTGAAATTACTTTGTATCTGAGGGTTTCATGTAAAAAGTAAAAATATCTGGTTCTGGCATAGTGGAGAATATCAGCTGGTGTGGTTGGGTTTAAACCGGGTGGATAAATTTTGACAGTTTTGGCTTTATCTGAGAGAGGTTTGACCATAAGGATAAGAGGAAGACTATAAGTGTCAACTATTAATTGGACATTCTTTTTTGGTCTAGACAAAAAGTCCGGAACTGTGTTTAGGTTTCCTTTAATGTGCTTAACGGTAAAATCATACCTGGAAAACCAGTCCATTAGCCTAAGAATCGAGGATTAGGAGGCATCTTGTTCTTGAACTCCAAGATCTTCGGGAATGAAGAGTTGTCCATCTGAACTTCAAAGTGATATCCTCTAAGATGGAAGTCGAACTTTTTTATGCCATTTTTGACTGCTAAGGCTTCCTTGAACGTGGTGTGATAATGTTTTTCTGCATCTTTGAATTGTCCACTTGCATGTCCACAATAGTATCTTTTCCCATTTTCTTCTTCAATGAGTACTTGCTCCCAGGTATTCATCGGCTGCATCGATCTGCAATATTCTTTTTCCATTGCCTGGAATTTTCGGAGCGGGAGGAGCTTGAGCTATCTTCTTCAGTTTTTTAATAGCTCTGGTTTGTTCGATCCCCATGGAGGTGGATTCTTCTTTAAGAGCTTGGACAAAGGACTTGTATTTCTTGCAACATTAGGGATGAATTCCCGATATAATTGACTATCCGAGAAATTGTTGGATCTGTTTGATGGTCGATTTTCATCCGGGAAGTTGAGAAGTTCTTCGACAATGTGAGGTTGAGGTCGATAAGATCCATGACTGAAGTGCATTCCTAAAAAGTCAATTTCTTCTTGGGCAAGGTGGATCTTTTCTCTCGAGAGCATTATCCCATGTTGATGGGCTATGTTAAAAAATTGATCCAATAACTCGTTTATGAGAGTCCATGTTTGGTGAGAACAATAAAATATCATCAATGTAGACAATTGCTCTATCTAATATGGGCTCGAAGATTTTGGTCATGGCCTTTTGAAACGGTGATGGGGCTGTTTTAAGCCCAAAGGGCATTACTTTCCATTGGTATTGGGCATTGGGTATGCAAAAAGCGGTTTTGTATCTATCGGGTGGGTCAATGCCTAATTGCCAAAATCCGGATTTGAGGTCGAACTTAGAAAAGATATGGGCTTCTTTTATCAAGATGGGTAAGGATGAAGCTTTGGGTATTGGGAATTTATCATCCTTAAGAAAACGAGTTAAGAGGCTTGTAGTCAATTACTAACCTCTTTTTCCCTCCGATTTTTCGGACCTCTTTTCTACATAGAAGGCTTGACAGGCCCAATTGGATTGGGTTGGTTCAATCAGGCCTTGTTTCAACGAGTTCTTGACATTCTTGTCTTGCTAGCTGTAGGTCCGAGGGAGACATTCCTGGGTGAGTAGCTTTGGTTGGATTAACATCTTCGTTGAGCTTGAAGGGTAATTGTACAAAGAAATCAGAATTCTTCCATAAAGGCTTAGGATGAGAAAATTCTTCATGATTGTTGGCACACGGAGAGGATAACTTTTGTTTTATCTCTTCAAGTTCTGGAGGAGCTTCGAGAGAGAAAAGAGTCTTGGTATCTCCGTAAAAAGCTTGAATTCTCTTTTGAACTTGATTCCTTTAGGAAGTATTTGAAATCTACTAGTCATGGAGAAGATGTCCATGCCTATCAAAATGTCTTTGTTGGGAAGCTTACTTCCTATAACTTTACTCCAAACGAGTGCATTCTGGAAAGAATTTAATTCAGATTGGAGCTACGGTTATTAACTCGGTCTTGAAGACTTTTCAGTCAACTGCTACAAAATAGGAGGCTTCTTTCTTCCAAAATTCTTTGGGAAGAATATCGGGATCCATCATGGATTTCGTGCTCCGAGTATCAATGTAGGCTATGGCTTGGATAGATTTGTCATATTTAGACGGAAGAATTTGAACTTCTAAACAAGGTTGAGGAGGAGAGACATTGATGAGGTGAGTTTCTCGGAAAGAGAATCTTGGAACGATGTCGAGTCTCGAATTCCTCGGAATATTCGATTCGATTCATCGAGAGGAGATGTTGAGGGCGAAGACAGTTTCTTCGTCAGCGAGAACTCGTTCGGAATACGGAGATTCTATATCGTCTTTTTCATCAAGTTGGAGGGTGGAGATGAGCTTGATGACTCTGTCGGCTCTGTGGGGACAGTTTTTGGAAAAGTGTCCCTTTTTCTTGCAAATGAAGCACAGTTGATCTTGTGCTTTTCCCTAAACTTCTTCTTCTTAAAGAATTTTAAATTCTTTTTCTTTTTTCGAAAATGGGTTTTTCTTTCTTTTTCTTCACCTTGCGGGTTCTCGAACAAGGCTTCTTGCATTTAATCTCCAAATAAGGTTTACGACAAGCTTTGCTAAATTTGCTTTTACGAGTCATGATGTCCGAGAAGAACTCATGTTGTACTGCATAGCTTATCAACGGCTTCTAAGGTCATCTGGTGAATTTGTCCCATAGTCAGAGTGGTGAAGTCTTTCTGAATGGACATGGCCATCCTGTTCAATTCTGGTTGGATCTCAGCAGGAAGAGATGCGACATAGGTGTTCTTTAAACTAGGATCATTGAGCCCATTGAGATGATAGACTCTTTTGCTCATTCGTTGATAGTGTTTTTCCAAGTCTTTGATTTTTATTGAGCAACATCTCATTTCGAAAAACTCTTGTCCGAGTTTTTTATCGATGATTGATCCAGTCACCTATGAATTCTTCATGTAAAGCACCAAGTACTGCTTGCTTGTTTGGCCCAGTTCATGGAGCCGGTTCTGTCGAACTACTCCCAAGTTATGATACCATCCTTTAAGTGTTCAGGTCATTCTACGGCAGAACTCCTCAATTACTTTATAAGAGTCGGAATTGTTGACTAATTTGGTATCTAACCATGCACCAAATTCGATTAATCGGCTCTCCATTGGCTTGGAGGAATATCATCAATAGTGAACCGGGGTCCACCATTTGTCTTTGATGACATATTTGTCCTTGAGGGACCTGAGTCGGCTTCTTCGTACGGAGGGTCGTAAATTGGCTCATGTCGGACTTCTGATCTGGAGGTATTGGTCATGAGTATCTGTGTAAGATCCTCATAACTAGGGACTTCTGTTTCCGATTCAGAAGTAAGGACTTCAGTTTCCGATTCATCAGAAACATGAATCTCGGTTTCTGAGTTCTCAGAGGATTCCTCAAGCATTATTGGAGTATCTGGAGTTGCAGGGGTTGGAAAGGGTTCTATGGTTAACTGAGAGTATGGATCTTGGGAATCTTGAAAGATTGGG